TTATAATTTAATACATATAAAAGTTCATATCCATAATAAAGAGCTCTAATGAATCTAAGAGAGAGGCAAACTATTCAATAGAAAAATAGGCAAATGATATGAATTGGCAATTCACAAAAGAAAAATATCCTAGAAAGATATAAAGAGATGCTCTGCCTCATTAGTAATAAGTAAATGAAAATCACTAACCTCTCTTAGTTACTAATAGAACAAGCACACAAAATATTAATATCAACAAATGTACAGAAATATGAACACAATTAACAAACTAGACCACTGACATACATAAAGAACATAGAACAGAACATGTATGCTTTACAAGAGTACATGGACTATTTTACCAACATTCAACATATATTAGATCATAAAATAAGCCACCACAAATTTCAAAGCACTGAAATTCTTTCAAACAACTGAAGTCCATTCAGAGAATGTTCTCCAACTACAATGGAATTAAGCCGAAAGTCAATTTGTAAAATGACAACTAGAAAAATCCCTATCTGTGGTCCCCAACCCCTGGACCAGTGCTGGTCCACGGCCTGTTAGGAACCGGGCCACATAGCAGGAAGTGAGTGGTAGGTGAGCCAGTGAAACTTCATCTCTATTTACAGCCACTCCCCATCGCTCACATCACCACCCCCACTCACGGAAAAATTGTCTTCCATGAATCCAGTCCCTGCTGCCAAAGAGGTTGGGTACTGCTGCTCAACATCACAAAGTCAATAACACTATATTTCTAAATGATTCATGAATGAAATAAAAGTGAAAATTAGCAAATATTTTTAACTGAAAGATAAAAATTAGACGTACCAAAACATGATGGTTGTAGTTAAAGGGAAATTGATATGTATGTTTAAATATCTATCTAAAAAGAAAAAGTTGGAAACTGCAAATTATACCCAAAGAAAGTAGAAGGAAGAAAATAATGAGCACACATAAATAAAAGAGAAAGTAAGTGTACGATAGGAAAAATTAGTAAACTGAACACTGGATTCTAGTAGAGACTAATAAAATTGATGGCCTTCTAGCAATATTGATCAAAGCAGAAGGCATAAATTTGTAGGGGTACATATATACCTATGTATTCATATACATAGGTGCATACATACTCATGTACTTACATGGGTACTTACATACATATTCATGGGTTGGTAGACTCAGTACTACAAAGACATTAATTCTGCGCAAATGATCTACAGTTTCAATGTAATCCCATTCAAAATTCCAACAGATTTTCTGGTGGAAATTGACAACTGATTCCCAAAATGCACATCGAAGTATAAAGGGTAAAGAAGAGCCAAGGAAATCTTGAAGAAAAACAAAAAAAGCTAAACAAAATGAAGACATGTGCTCTGATATAAAAATTTATAATAAAGACAGAGTAACTAAGACAATACAATGTTGGCACAAAATGGACAACTAGACCAATGGAGCTAGCATAAGAGAGTTCAGAGACAGACCCATAGATAAAATCCCGTGATCAAAATGCAGTGCAGTGGGGAAAAGAGGATGTTTTCAATAAATGTTACTGGTCAATTGGATATACATACAAGGGGGAAATAAAGGGAAAAAAAAAATCAATCTTGACCCTTACACCTCAAGCCACAGTCAATTCTCCAGAGT